CGGTGCTCGTTTTAAGGACCGTTTTTAGCCTCGAACACGAAATCCGTTTTTAGCCTCGTTTCTGCAAAACGGCTCTGGAGCCGTTTTGCACAAATCGCGAACACGGTTTTCGTTTTAGCTCGGCATCTCTCGGCATTTCAGTCTTAGGTAAGCTCGGAGTCGCAAATCCTCTTGCCATATCTAGGCTTAACTGAAGCCTTGGAGAACTTATGTCCCCTCCCGAGTGTCTAGTTTGTGCTGGGAAGTGACAGTGTCCTTCTGTAGTATATACCAAGTGTTTAAAACCATCTCAACTTAAAGAGTGCTGTACCTTAAAGAGGAATCACGGCTCTACATTGGAACTCCGCCTACAGTCAGTGGCTGTAAACGTTGTGTAAACGCGTGCTTGAACGAAGCGTTGAACGGCCCACAAAACGGATTTTATGTGGGGTGGTCACGGTTGATTTCGGTTTACGATGCGTTTTAGAGGTCGACAACGAAATGCAAAACGGACGCTAAAACGGCCTTAAAACGCCAACCGTGACTTCCCCTATTTATCCTTAGTGAACAGCAGTGGACACGTAAATAATCGACACTCTACCTGCTTGAAGAACCCTACGAAGCGCGACACAGGCGCGGCTTCGCCGCCGTTCAGTATTCATCGCTCCTCTTCTGTACGGCAGTGGTTCGTCGCAGTGGCGTCGTCAGATGACGCCTTTTGATGCCTTTGGTGGCGACGACTCAAGCTGGGACGCGTCAATGTGCGCGGCTTCGACACCTGCCACAGAGATTTCAGCAAGTGGCGACATCTGAGAGAAGTTGTGATGCGTAAGTGGTTGTAGAAGTTGACTGTCGGTAAAGAGCAACGAGTGAGCCACACCTCCTGAACAAAGCGATGGTGACTGATAATGGGTCCTTCGGCAAGTGCCGGTAACCCCGGATCCTGTCCTTCTTGTGATCTCTCCCTCGCCACAGGCCTCTGCTACGCCTCTGGGGGATATCTCTGGCTGTGCTCCTCCCGATGAGAAACAGCTCAATCCCACTGTGATCTTCCGATTATGTGGACTCCTGCTGCGAAGTCCGGTTTCACTATCGGTCTAATCACTTCATAAAGTGTCAGTACATAATTAGCTGTTATAATATACCTTTCTCCCCTCCTGCGTCATAGTCGACGCATTTCGTCGCTGTTCTCGATTAGCCTTCACCACAACATGGTACGTTGTTGGCAGTTGCCCTGCTATGAGCAAACCGAGCCACAGCGTCTATCCAATGCTCAGTTCTTTATGTCAGAGCTGTCATGCGGTTCTCTCTCCCTTCCTAGACCAAGTTGAACACCATTCACTGCGTTTGCTGCTCTTTATCTAACCCGCGGATAGGCATATAGATAAGTAAGCTGCATGAATCTATCCAGTATGCAAGACTGCTGGAGTAGCTCGGTGTCAGATAGCTCATGGAATGTACACTTATCCCTTCCTATCCAGAGATTGGACTGCCAGCCTAGCCAGAACTTGAATAGACATACGAGTTTGCCTATCCGTATCTATCCCATGGAAAGCTAGGTTACATGTCCGATGCTGGAACGGTCAATCGTATCGACAATCTTGCGCTGCATAGAATATCCCCCCGGCCGACACTCACTCCATATAAGGCGCAAGCCAACAATTACATAATGTCCCAATATATACATGTAGTAGCTAAATATGGTATTCCCGCTACCGATGCCTGTCCGGCGACCGTCGCGTCGATTGTACCTACAACCGCCAAAGATTGTGCGCAATATATCGACCTTGGTCCATATTATAGCTCTGATGCTGGAGCATACCTGTAGTGTTCGAACGGTATGCCGGAGTCGACAG